TGATGATTCAATTGGCATCTGTATCTAATTTAGTTATTTAATAAAGTGTTTTTATGTAGGTAAAAGTWTGWTTAGGAACCTGTAAAATACACCAGAATGCAGGAAACTGCATCTACTAGTTTCAAAATTTTCTGGTGGAGGACCACCAGACCCCCCACTAATGCCCCCTCACACATTACAATGCTTCTGATGCTCATTGCTTAACATTAGAGAGGATAAACCAACACACCTGTAGTGCACCACCAAACTGAACTGTGTTCCATGAAACTAGTTGATTGTCAAACTGTTCTCCTGGTGAGATCAAAGAGCTGCTACAGTACATAGTATAATGCAGGTGAACATCATATAGGTGTGACTGAGTACACATTATTGCACCACAGCAGAAACATTTACTTTGTTGTTTATGAATGTGAAGAGGCAGGTTTTGGTCGGTGAATATAAAATACAAAAATATTACATGCTAGTACATATTTGCCTAATTTTTTATATGTACAAAAATTGGACCGGTCTTGGCCATTAAACTCCCGGGCTGAAAAGTTTCCCCACTCCGCCCCTGGTAACCAACCAACAGAATTAAAAAATGCGAAGGGTGAGCAATCTGCCTCTGTAATAGACGATCTTTGTAGTTAGTAGACTGGGGTAAACCGGAGGAGGAGACGGTGACGTCACTTTCACCAGATCAGGGAATTTCTCTGGAGTCTGCCCTGAAGACTCCACCGCCCTCGTATTTGGCGCTCTCTGTTGGTTGAACGTAGTACTGCAATTTATTTATTTATTTGTCTTCAAGTTGGAATGTGAAGCATTTTTACTGTAGTTAATCTTGCATTTGAAAATTAGGAAATTTAAGTTGTTATACAAAAATATTTCAATGACTAATTTTGAGTTTAAGTTGTGTAGATGTAGTTATTTACCAATGTTATAGATATGGCTCCAGATTTATTGTTTTGTCTGAAGACTTGGGCTTTTCTTCCTTTAGAATTTTTTTCAGTCATTTCAAACTAACAAAACAAATAAAACTAAAAACATTAAGAACTAAAATCTCATTAAAAATCACTAAAATCATCATTTTAGACAATGCTTTTTATACTTGTACTGTGTTTCATGAACACATTCATTTTGTGGTTCTGTTCATGTGTGAAAACAGTTCCAATTTAGAAGTGCTACTTCCTTCCCCAAAGCAGAGCACAGCGTCTGGTTGCGTGCTCATGTCACCATCTGCCACTGTGTGGTGGGCTGTGAGACATTTACAGGAAGTCATCTGTTTGCATGTAAACTCAGATGCAGAGGAGGTTGGCTCAGTTAGTTGTTATCAGGTACATGATGTTCCAGTTTTTCGTTAGAACCTCCAGCTGCTGGTCTTTGTCACCGATAACACAAAAATGTACAAATGTTTAGATTCAGTTTTTATCGCCAAGCAGAGYACGAGTTTTTGATTTGACACAAAGTGTAAACTGGAGAATCCTTATCTTGTTGTATTTTGTAGAGAAAATGTTTACACATGTTTAATAATATTCATACGCAAGTAGTTAATTTACGAGATCAGATCTCAAGTTGATTTATTGTGTAAATGCTACGAAACAGATGTAGTTTTTTCTCCCATGCCTTTCGGCATGTATCTTCTTCCACTGTTTTGTGCTGTTTCAAAAATTCATCTAACTTTCAGCTCTTTCAGGACATGCTGGCCTTGACTTTTGATATTTCCGCAATTTGTTCGTTTTGAGAGATTTGGCTTTTTTTTCCTTCCTTTTTTTGTTCTCATTGAAGATGAATGGAGCTGTCTTCAAAATCCTTGAAATCCTTTAAAATAGTTAACCTTTCATGCACTGTTCACCTTTTGTTCCGGTTCTGCTTTCTTTTTTTGTGCTGCTTTCAGCTTCTTGTTTTGCTAATTTCAGCTACCTTTCTGCTCTCTTCAACTATCCTGCCAATTTAAACTTTTTTGTGCCTATATCAGCTTCTTTCTGCAAATTGAAGTTTTTTATGCTTCTTTCAACTGTTTTCTGTAATTTAAGTTAACATTTTTTTTAGCTAAATTCACCTTTTTGGGATAGTTTCAGCTTTTTAATACTTAATTGAGCAAATATGCTCT